TAGGGAAAACAAATTTGATATAACTAGAGCAAGAACAGAAGGTCCCGCTGCCCTGGCCAGAGGCCTCACGGAAACGCAGCGGCAGAAGCCGTGACTTCAGCGGAGCCTGGGTGATAAAGGGGGCGCATCAGTGAGGGGGAGGGGGCGTGTCTGTGCAGGAGGGGGCTCCCCACACCGTGCTCTTCATTTCTGTGCATGTTTGCACACTGCTAGAATAAAAAGTTCTGCTTAGTGTTCCCGATTAAATAAAAAGTTACGCTTTTACTACCAGGACTTCTCATAGAAGATCCTGCTAATTGATGACAACCATAAATGACACCGATGTGGCAGACACTGACAGCCACCCGTGCTCCATCCTGCGCAGTCCACGCAGGGGGCAGCAGCACCCCCACTTTTCAATCAACAGCGAGGCCCAAAGTCACAGGAAGTCAATCTAAAGGGAATGTGAATGAAATGCTGGGAAGAAGGGTCTTCAGAAGGGACAGCACGCAGGTGCCAGGCTCATCCCCAGCGATGAGTCTGGGGGCCGAGGGAGGTCAGGGGAGCTGGCTTCGAGCAGCTCAGAGCTCAACGTCTAATACGAGGAGTCACGATTTGCTCTGCAAGGACTCTGTCGGGTTAAGCAGTTATTGGAAACGGGGTGGAACCAGCAGCCTGGACTGAGCCCACCTCCTGGCCTTTCTGCCCGCAGCAGCAGCAGCAGCCTTGGCCCGTCCACTGAGCCCCTGGCCCAGGCCAGAGAGGAGACGAGGCCATTGTGCACAGCGAGCTGGACGCCAAGAACACCAGCTGGCGTGTCCTGGGGGTCCAGGAGGCTCGGCTCAAGCACAGCGCGGAGCTGCTCGGCTTGGAGGCCGGCTCGTGGAGGGAGGGAGCTGCTCTGTTCCGTGACGCCTCCTGGGTGCCCGGACGGACGGATGTTGACCCTCCCTGGACAGCAGCCCTGTAGGGCAGGCACATGACTGTCTCCATTTCCAAAGCAGGAACCAGAAGCCCACAGAAGCATGTGTCCAACGGCCAGGGTGGGGACCAGCCCCCAACCACAGGCCACCTGTGGCCACCCTCACTGACTCTCAATCCAGGACCAGAGAGGCTGAACCCCCAGTGGAACTCCTGACTGAGACACAGTATGAGAGTTCAAGACCACGGCGAGGTGGGGGGCCATGGACCCAGCGCAGCCAGCGGGCGGCCACCAGAGGGTGTCATCAACTTGTGGGGGTGGGAGGGTGTCTCGTCAGGGCAGGAAGGAGGGTGAGGGGGTGGAAGCAACGGTTTGAGCTGGAACTAATTTCAGAATGCAGAAGGTACCTACAGATAACCCTTGTCTGTTAGTTCTGAAAAGCGGATGCTAAGAATGGAAGGGTGAATGGAAGAAGTCATGATCGGCTCCTTCGAACTGGGGTCCTGCCCTTTTCTCCAAAATGCTGGAAGAGACTGCACAAGGGACTTCACTGTTACTAATTATACTTCAGGGCCCAAGCGTGTGCCAGCCAGCACAGGCTCGGAGCCCAAGGCGGACGCAGGGAAGGCACAGCAGCTGGGCGAGCTCCCAATGCCAGATGCCCCCATCAGCCCCGGCCCAGCACCCCCACCCCAGGCCATCTGTATCACGTGTGACATGGAAGCCAGCAGGTGGGCTCATCCCTCACCGTCTCTGTGTCCCTGCCCAGTTCTGAACCTGGCATGCAGCACTCAGGAAAGGGGGAAGGAAGGGAAGAAGGGAGGAAGGGAGGGAGGGAGGGAAGTAGGTTGACCAACAGATCACAATCATCCTGGAAGCGGCTCCCACAGCAAGCTGCTGGGCTGTACTGGGCAGCAATCTGGTTCACCACTGCAGTGAGGTTGGGAAAGGCCCGCTCATCCAACCCACAGAAGCCCAAAGCCAGCTGTGCTAGGAGACTCGTGGGATAACAAAATTGATATTCAAAATTATCTTGCTAGGTCGGGACAGCCCCCTCCCGACTCCAAGAGCCAGCGTACGAATGTAGCTGAAAGACAGGTGGGGAACAGTGACCGGCTGCAGACCTGTCACATGGAAAGACTGGCATTCACGGCTGAGCTCACGCACGTCCACTGCTAGGTCAGGGGTAGGCATGATGCCACCACGTGCGCCTACGAGCAGATTCTGCTCCCGAGGGAGTTTATCAGCAGCGGGTGAGGAGACCGCCAGCAGTCACCCTACAGGGCAGGGGGTTCTGGAAAGAACTGGGTCTGCTGCACAGCACTGGGCCTGGGGGAGCTCCCGGAGGCTCCCGCTGCCATTCATTGTCCCTCTCGGGGAGGCCACGCTGGGGTCAATGGAAAGTGACAGCAAGATAGAGATGAGGGCTTGCTACATGGAAACTTTGTCCCAAACTCCAGCGCTGGCCTTGAAAAGGCATGTGAGGGAAGCGTGGATCACACGGACTCAGAAATCTCTGCCAGAGGAGACGGGCCGTGGGAAACATGCCTGTGGCCCCTGGCGGTCCCAGGTGTCCGTGCGGTGATGAATGCACATCTCAGGGCTGCTGCAGCGGACCTGCAGACAAGCGAAGGGTCACCGTGGCCCTCTGCGGTCCCATATGTAAGGCGGACTCTGGGGGCTAATCAGCGGGGAGGGAACTGAGATTATAAAACGTTGGTTTCTAGCCCCTTCGCCTCTTCCGGTGAGGAGCAGGCCTGGACCTAGCCCTGTGGGGCGGGGCGGGTCCCGAGACCCCCTGCTACCCACTGCTGGGAGGAAACGACTGGGCAGAACTGAGACGATTCACAAGCCACACGCTTGTGAAATGGCGACCAAAAAGTACAGTTCGCTACGACGGTGACAACATCTCACAATCACTGTGTTGAATGAGAAAAACGTATTTTGTTAGAAAAAAATAAAGCAGAAACCCGCCTGCCTGGTATGTGGCTGGTCCCCTCCTAACTGCCCGCAGGGCCCGTGCTGCTGACGAAGCCACCAGCCCTCCCTGACACCTGGAGCCCCATCTCTCCCCTTCCCTTTTTCCCACGGTAAGTCAAAATATTGAGTATCCAAATGTCCCCAAAAATGCCTTTTTCCATATTCCTACTGAAAAACCCCATCCATTTTTTCCCATTTAGGTACAATGGGTGTGGCAGACGACAGGAAAATAACTTTGGCAAATAACACTCTGCTGTGTGCTGTCCTCGATGCACAAGATTCACCCTGTAAAACATCAAAATCATGGACCCGCTGGCCTCGGGCACTGCATCCATCTCAGGAATTATGCGAAGGAAAAAAATCAGACTTACTTGGCCACCAACACACGGATAAACATCGGCTACTAAAGGCATTTTAGCATCTAATATTAAAGTGCTTATAGGTTTTTTTAAAGTATTGACAATATGTTGACTGGATTAAAAATAGAGGCTTGATTTTATTTTCCAGGCCCGGCTGGCTGGCTGGGTCACGCTTGCCGACAGACCCGAAGCAGCAGTCAGCAGCTCGGAGCCCAGCGCGCTGACTGCACTGTGGGTGGCAACTGAGATGCCCCCGTTTCTATATTTAATTCCAAGTGACGGTGTGTGGGTGCCAGCCTCCTA